CCGGATATACAACCCAAATATATGATCGAATATAATAAGTAAATAATGAAATGACAATAGGGGTATGAATAATGATACGAACGTAGTCACGAGGACTGATATTGCATTAATTGTGTGTACTAAGCTATTACAGAGGTTCAAGACGTGTAATAACAAGACAACTATAGTAAGAAGGTAGAAGATAATAGGTTGCAGGTGTCTGATTAGGACACCAAGGTGTGCTTTTATACTCCAATCCGCCATAACAACCCCGGAGGACACGGTGGGAGCTGCCTGGACCGCAACCGTCGCCGTGAGACTCAGTCAATACGAGGACCCTGTCCCTTGGCCGAGCCCGGAGCTCGGCCAAGTGAGGACTCTGAGGTGGCCAACCTCACGCTAGCCGACCCCGAGGTGGCCGAGGATCCCGTGGTAGTAGTCGAGGATCCCGTGATAGTAGTCGAGGACCCCGTGGTAGTAGCCGAGGACCCCGTGATAGTAGTCAAAGACCCCGTGGTAGTAGTCGAGGACCCTGTGATAGTAGCCGAGGACCCCGTGAGAGTAGCCGAGGACCCCGTGGTAGTAACCGAGGACCCCGGGACGCAGACCCCTCCATGGTCTGTCCGGCCGCGTGCATAGTCAAGTCGGGTCCCGGGTCTGATTCGCTTCATATTACGTCGCCCAGATCCGCTCCGTAATTATTCCATCATCAGTCCCCCACTCTCGGTGCTGCGAGAAGTCGTCAGCACAAGAGAGTACTACATCCAACCAATAATTACGAACCAAAATTCGCGCCAGAACTCGCAATCCGTGTTCGGATGGAACTCCTCTCGAGGTATGAGCCAGATGTTGTGTAAAATTCGAACTCAACTTCCCCTTATCGTTTTAGGAGTCCCAATTCCATCACAACTCTTCCAACTAGCAAACCGTTGCTCGGGTTGCCGACATGAGAGATGCCTTGGGGTCCCCCCCGAACCCAACTGGAGATCAAGACGAGAGCCCTCCAGGACGCAGAGTCTAAGCTGAAGGAGCTCTAGGTGGTGTGCTAGAACTGGGAGGAGAAGCATGCCCATTTAGTTGTTTCGCGTGCTCGGGAGCGTAAGGTGCATGAGGAGGCTCTTGCCGCAGCGCTATCGAGCTTCGAGCACCTTATGAGCATCACCGCCTGTAGGGAGCGTATAGCTGAGCAGGGGTTGGCGATGTATGACATGGCGGAGTATGTGATGCAGCGCAAGATTTACCCCATCCTTCGCGAGAGAGACGAGACCTTCGACCCTGATGCATGGGGTCTCCCCGCCGAGCTCGAGAACCCTGATACTCTAGCCGACCCCCGAGGTGGCCGAGGTGGATGGTCGCCCGACTTCCGCCCGGAGCTCGACCACCTGTGTCCCCTCTAATGCAGACTTGATTGCAGACCTCCCGTACGTTGCTTGCGAGGACGATACATTGGAGCAGATCCCTATTGAGCCCTTTGGCGATGATGAGCTCCCCCCGGTGGCTGAGGAGGAGAGGGTTGTGGGCTTCCCATGCAAGACTTAGCAGCTTTGGACTTAGCTCTTTTGGATTCGTGATACTTGCTTTTGCTTATTATGTTGCCCAAACTCGTGTTCCCCCAAGGCGTGTTATACCTGGGGCTTTGCTAAGGCTTCGAGTTCCCACACTTGGGATTTTAAAAAAAGCCCTAAGTGCTGTAGAGGGTCCCGGGTTGCGACCCAAAGGTCCGGCCAAGCGCTGGCCGACCTCGGAGGTCGGCTAAGGGGGTCGGCCGGATCCTACCCCGTGCTCGTGTGCTCACGAGTTGTTTTTTTTTTTTTTTTTCTTATTTTCGAGTGTGCTCAGCCATAGGTCGAAGTATCTACGCCTTGGACCCGCGGCTCATCCGTTCGATAATAGCCGAGGTCGGACCTCGTATCACTCCTAGGGCATAGCGATTTCAAGTCAAAGTCCTTTGACTTGGACCCAAAAGTTCTTCCGTTCGGCAATAGGCGAGGTCGGACCTCGTACCACCCCTAGGACGTCTTAGCGATTCTTGGGTTGGAGTCTTCTGACTCGCATCCGGAATCCTTCCGTCCGTGGTAGGCGAGGCCGGACCTTGTACCGCCCCTAGGATATCAAGATTGCGTTACGCTCGTTCGGCGATAGGCGAGGTCGGACCTCGTACCGCCCTTAGGACGTTTTAGCGATTCTTGGGTTGGATTCTTTTGACTCGCATCTCGAATCCTTCCGTTCGGCGGTAGGCAAGGTCGAACCTCGTTCCGCCCCTAGGGGGTGTGGTGATTATGGGTTGGAGTCCCCCGACTCACGCCCATAAGCTCCTCCGTTCGGCGATGCGCGAGGTCGGACCTCGTATCGCCCCTAGGTGTGACAAGTCTAAGCTGGCTATCGCGGTTGCCCGCGAACATGGCCGACTTCCCGGGGCGGCTGACCCCGTGGAGGCCGACCCCGTGGTGGCCGACCTTGGGTTGGCTGTGGTGTACTCTCGCCCGCGGGGTCGGACTTGACAGGTTGATTGCGCCCGTACTCTTTCTCAATTCGGGGTAAGATAATTGCACAACGAAATTCGCTATTCCATTACAATAAAAAAAGAAACCAACATTATTGAGGGGTCGGCCGCCTTACAAATGTGCTTCTACTGATAAAATTCTCGCAAGTGCTCCGAGTTCCATACCCTGTCTACCGTCTTGCCCGATGGGGTCCTCAATTTGTAATTGCCCGGGCGTATTATGGCTTCGATCACGTATGACCCTTCCCACTTCTTGGCGAACTTGCCCCCGTCTTAGGGTCGGCTTGCCTCTCTCCTCCGGAGGACGTAATCGCCGATGGTACGCCTTTGCTTGGCGCTGGTAATTTTCCGCGCGAACCATGGCGTCCTCCCTTCTGTTGTCGATGAGGTGGAGGTCGACGGCGTGGTGTTCCTCATTAAGGTTGGGGTCGTACACCTCGACCCGATAGGATGGTAGTAGCCGAGGACCCCGTGATAGTAGCCGAGGACCCCACGGTAGTAGTCGAGGAACCCGTGATAGTAGCCGAGGACCCCGTGAGAGTAGCCGAGGACACCGTGGTAGTAGCCGAGGACCCCGGGACGCAGACCCCTCCATGGTCTGTCCGGCCGCGTGCGTAGTCAAGTCGGGTCCCGGGTCTGATTCGCTTCATATTACGTCGCCCGGATCCGCTCCGTAATTATTCCATTAGTTATCAACTAATCAAACACACTAACCCAATCAGCTATCAGATAATAGTTATTTACCAAACACACCTAAATCAATTTATGACACATTGCATGTAAAAATAAAATTATTTTTTTAACAAAAATAAAGTTAAGAAAAAAGAAAATAAAGAATTGAAGTTCCACCACCTCCAGAAGTGCAAATGATCGACGATGAGGGTAATTATTAATGGTAGACATTACGAAACCTCCAAACTCACCGCTAAAACCATGTCCTTTCTTTATTACGTCCCTTTCTCCTCTTAAATACCTTAATGCAACTCCCCCCGCCCCCGATGTGGGCCCGAAAGCTATGTAGATCTTTCTATTAACTCCTCTCATATTTGGCCCCAATAAATAATTTTTTTTTGTTTTCATACTAAACTAATATATCCAGTAAGATCCTACACAGTCGTGCTCTGCAAGACCTTAAGATGATCAAGATAGAGGTTCAAATGTGAGACTTGTTTTTTTAATGACGAGCAAAATTTGTAATCATTATCTGTGAGTAGACAAACTTGAACCAAAACAAATTCAGTTATTTATTATTGACCAATTCAAATCAGAACCAGAGACGAAGCCAAAGGGGGCAGGAGGGCAGCTGGCCCCCTTTCCCCTCACCTCACCCTCACTCCATATATAATATTTGTATGTATATATGTATATATAGTATAGGTTTTAGTATTAGTATAAAAAAACTATTAAATGTTAACAAGGAATGAGTTAGATTAAATGGTAAAGTACATGTTTGGTAATAATGAAAGTCAAGGGTTCTAATCCTTTGCCATTAATACACACACACTCACAAATTTTTAACAATATTTACAACTATATTTCTTAGGTAATTTTTTTTTTTAATTATCTCTTTTGTTTTAATGTTTCGCTTTTATTGAAAAAAATTTCTGAATCTGTCCCTACTACTTCGCGCCCCTCAACCGAATTTCTGACTCCGTCCCTGATCAGAACGAAAATAAGTTTCTCCCATTAGGAGTCGAAATATGAATTTTGTGGTTACTCAGCTAGTAATCTGACCAACAAGATTAGAGTTGCATGTAAAACCTTTTAAACTAAAAGAGACATGCATGCCAATAATTTTGTGGTATTGTACAAAGTGATTCTCCTAGACATGAAATCATGGGTTCGATACCCAGAAGTATGATTATTCTATTTTCATTTTTAATGCTTCCAAATAATATCATTACTTTTTTTTTTCCCTAAAAGATCAATTTTGTAAAAAATTAGAGTTAATTCCACCAGAGGTCCCTTGTCTTTGGTGGCAATTTCAAATTTAGTCCCAGACTATTGTTTTTGTCATTTAACATCCCAGATTATTATTTTTTGGACACTTTTAGTCCTTCTCATGACTTTTCCTATTTTCGTTTTTAAACTTTAAGTAAGCTCCGATTTTTAGTAATCATATTTTTCAACCAGTTTTTAGTGAAGTTCTAAACCTATTAAACCGATTGAAATCAACAAAAATAACAAAAACAAAATATGAAGAGATAAAAATGCCCTTAGTAAAAATAGGAAAAGTCATGAGAATGACTAAAAGTGTCTAAAAATAATAGTCTGGGATATTAAATGACAAAAACAATAGTTTGGGACTAAATTTGAAATTGCCACCAAAGACAAGGGACATTTGGTGGAATTAGCCCTAAAAAATTATGTTAAACAAGTATGGGATGGAGTAATGTGAATAAAAAAAAAAAAAAAAGAAATAAAATAAAATAAAGCCTTGGTCAAATTTCTTCTTGCCATTGCAACTTGCATCATCATATCCAATAATCCGTCTCTTCTCTCACTGTCGCACAATAACTCCATGTAATATAAAAAGGGGAGAGAAAGAAAGAAAGCCCTAAAAGCTATGCCCTTCATTGCAAGTCACTAAAAGTTAGACCACCCAGACCCTCACGCTGCTGTTTATCGTTTTCTAGTATATTTGTATGGCAATTGTGCCCTCAAGAATGAGCCAACAAGATGAGAGCAGCAACACCACCACCACCAACAACAATAATCATCATCGTCGTCACGAGGAAGACGACGAGGAAACCGACGACCATGAACACGACGTTGTCATGCCCGGATTCCGCTTCCACCCCACGGAGGAAGAACTTGTCGAGTTCTACCTTCGCCGTAAGGTGGAGGGCAAGCCTTTCAACGTTGAGCTCATCACCTTTCTTGATCTTTATCGCTACGACCCATGGGAACTTCCTGGTATAACTCCTTCCAATTCCTATATCTATCCATCTTTATCTCTAGCTATGAACCAAATCTCTACTCGATCAACTTTCTATGGTTGATTAGAGACCCTTTAATTTGATGAAGGCCGGGTTCGGGGGCTCCTTTCTGTTGGGCAGAGGTTGTTAAAGGGTCAAGTCCAGCACCACTACATTTTCAAGAGACAAGATGCTGAACTTGGCCTTTCACGGGCCTCCAACCAACAATCCCTTAGCCACCACTAGCTTGCTGGTCTTGGCCCTTTAACAACCTCCGTCCAACCCATACAATAAAAGATGAGAGACACCAAACTCTTCATCAAATTGGTGACCAGGGGATTATATTGTTGGGTGGAGGTTGGTGAACGGTCAAGTCCAGTATGCTATCTCTAAATCAGTATATAAGGAAATAAATAAAGTTGTAACTTTTGAGGTAGTGGTAAGAGTTTGATCTAAGTGTATATAATGGTTGTTAATGTGTATGTTTTTTGTTAATTGGTAGCATTGGCGGCTATAGGGGAGAAGGAGTGGTACTTCTATGTGCCGAGAGACCGGAAATATAGGAACGGGGACAGACCGAACAGGGTGACAACGTCGGGGTACTGGAAGGCCACCGGCGCCGACAGGGTGATCCGGAGTGAGAATTTCCGGTCGATTGGGCTGAAGAAGACGCTGGTTTTCTACACCGGCAAAGCCCCCAAAGGGATCCGGACTAGCTGGATTATGAACGAGTACCGCTTGCCTCACCACGACACTGAACGCTTACAAAAGGTACTACGTTAATTAGTTGGGTGCTTCTATTTTCCCTCACCTCAAAAAAACCCAATCATCTCCTTAGCCTAGATTCATATGCAACCACAAAAGATCCGGTTTTTTAAATCTCCAGTCTAACTATCATACCCATTAGAAGTGTCTATAAATCAGCAAAATGATTAGTTACTGTACATGTTCTAAGTCTCATAGTGTAAAGTCTGGGTATACTCAAAAAAGAAGAGTCATTTTAGGGTCCGGTATAGTTTGATATATAGTAAGTTATATATACTTTTTCTAGATATTTAGATTTTAGTTTGAATTTTTTCATGCTCATATTGTTATTCGATTTCTTTAAGAAAAGAAAATATGCAACAAGCTAAGAAAAATGAAATTTGAAAGAATAAATAATATGTATTTACACATGACCAAAACCCTTTCTTGCTAGCTTTATGTATGTATGTATTCATGAATTTACCTTTTGTGATGCCTAAATTGTTGAAGTACAATGTTATTAACAAAGAAAAAAACTCTAAGTCTCATACAAAAAAGTCAGAGGGGAGAAAGGTAAGATCCTGTAATCCAAGTGATGTTGACTATGTTATTAGCTAGGTTTGATTCTTGAGTCTAAGAACAAAAAGTATAAAATGAAAATTTTAGAGTAAAATATTAGGTTTTTTTGCCTATATGCATGCACTTTTGATCGTTGATTTTGTTAATATTAATTCTCTTATATATTCTCAGGCTGAAATTTCTCTTTGCCGAGTCTACAAACGAGCCGGAGTGGAAGACCACCTGCCGCTGCCGCGCAGCCTTCCCACGGCGAGAGCCACCGCGTCCACATGCCGACCTCCGCCGCACGCGGCCAAGAAGCCGCCGCACCACCACTCCCTACCGCCCTTTGAGTTTCCCAGAACCACCGCCAACATGGAAGCCGCCGCCACGTCTCTCGTCCTCTCCCAACCCACAAATTCAATGAACTCATACACCCCCGCCCCGCCGCCACCTTTGGCGGTGGCGGCTTCCGAAGAAGAAAAACTGCTCCTAACTTCTCCCGCCGTCGTCTTCCCCGGCGGCTCTTCCTCTCCGGCGCCCTTCGCCGCCGTGGATGACCTCCATAGGCTAGTGAACTTACACCAAGCCGCCGCCGCACCCCAACATTTTCTCACGCCCCAATTCCCTCCTTTGCATTTGCAGCCGCCGTTAAGTTTCCCCGATAGGCTGTGGGATTGGAGCTCACTGGCGGCGGAGCAAAACAAGGACTATGGAGCCGCCAACCCATTCAAGTAATTTAATTAATATATATATAATATCAAATAATGCATTGCACATATATTATTGCTTACCTTATTTCTATATATATAAATATGTACATTTATGGATATGCTTTTATCTCTACTAATTTGTTTTTTAATGTGACATGTTAAAGAAAACTTTTCTATGGTGTCATACTTTCTCGAAATGAAAAATTTATTACTTGAAGATTGTTAAATCTCTAGAGATATAACAAGTTCAAGTAATTTATTTTCATTTTCAAGTATGAACAACATTATATTGTAGAAATTTTGTTGTTTTTGGTTGTTTCTAATGTATTATTGGTGCTAATATGTTCATTAGGTAGGGTTTTTGGTTTAGTTTTGGGACTGTTTGAACAAGCCATTTGTAATACTATAATCCGTTTTATATAGCTCTTACTATTATCTATTATTTGTGCTTGAAAGATTAGTTATGATTAATTCTATTGTTAGCTTGATTAATTAGGGTTTGAAGTTACTGAAAGTTTAGCCTACATTTCATTATCATTATATTAAGATGCGCGGGACGTTCCATTTTTCCTTTTGAAGTAATTTCTAATTTCCTTCTCCTCACAAATAGTGCTTATTGAACCAGTAAGTTAAGCCCATGCTGACAAATTTCTAATTTACTATCACGCGCTTAGGAGGTGACAATGACCCTGTTTGGTAAATGGTTGTTAGCTAATTGGGTTTGGGGATATGATTAGTTGATAACATTAGCTTATTGTAGAAATGCGTTTGGTAAATTGGATGTTAGCTGATAGCTATTTGATATAATTTATTTTCTCAAAAAGTTAATTGAAAAAGTTGTTTTGAGCAGCTTTTTGAATTTTAATATTTTGGAGTTACAAAAAGTTGATTAATCAAACACTTATATTGATTTTTTTATCAAGTCAAACAGTTAATAGTAATCAAATAAGAAAAAATTGACTGATAAGCTAACTATTTTATCAAATAGGAATAGGGCCAATGAATTGATAAACTATTAATATATTGATGAACGCATATTATCGCAAGTATAATGAATTAATGATAATAAGTATTTTAATTTAAATGTTTCAACTAGCAGAGAGTGAGATGGGGCTAATATATATAGTATAATGCGTGGTGATGGGAGTACGTGTAGCCCTAATTGCCTTGACTTTCTATACAGTACATGCATGCATGCACAACAGCTATAAATGTGTGTACATATGTAATTATGTATGATATATAAGGTTAAAGGAGTTAGGGATATATATATGTGTGTCAATTCAGTTAATTCAATAACTTTTAATTGTTACAAATGGTAGATAATATTGGCGTGATTTTGTCAACTTGTCATGATTTATGTAATTTCTTCTGCATGCATGTGTTCTTCATTGTATGGAACAAATTTAATTTTTGGAGTTGTTTATCAATCACAATATAGAACACGTATGTTCAACTTGATATGATACAAATTTGAGACTTTTGTGCCATTATGTTGTGATCTTCTAAGGTAAATAAGCATCATCCATACTAGGAACCCACACTATCTTGTTTTTTTTTTTTTTCATAAAATAAATTATTGTTGAACTATAAAATCTATATATAGTTGTTCTATATGGCAAACAAAAGTCTAGAAGGGAAGATGGTTGAATAGAATTTTACAAACGATATTTAATTTTAAGAAATCACATACAAGAATCTATAACAGAAGTCTTGCTTAGCTTGTGTTTTAATAAATTAAAGTTAATCATAGTTTGTTTGAATGGTTTGAATCATTCGTCGAATACTTGTGTGGACTCCTTATTGAGCTTTATGACTCTTCCACCAATGTTGCATAAACTCGATTCATATATGACTACCTAAAAAACTTTAGTCTTAGATCTTACATGTGATCGGGACCAATAAAAACACATGAATTCTCTCTTAAAAATTCACTTCTACTTTTTTTTTTTTTTTTTTTTTTAATGTGAAGTAGTTCCTTTTATACTACATAATAATATGAATTTCATCTTTTGAATTATTCAAAAACAATTTATATATTTTTGTTGGAGCTCCTTTGTAGGTGAATAGTTGTGCCCATTGCTGATTCAATCCCATGATTTATGTTGCACAATTTGCATGACCAACTTTTTCCCATACCCCATTTGCATAAGTTTTAACTTTTTCTAAAGAGTTAATTCCATTTTGGTCCTAGATTTAAAGGTGACAGTTAATTTTTAATTTTTTTTATCAAAACATTCATATTTGGTCATAGTTTTATTGTGGCATGACTATTTTTGGTCTTACCATACATCAACAAAGTCGTTGAAATGTCGTTAAATACAAAGACATTTCAATCATTTTTATACAAAGTGAGTTTAACCCTGCTATATTTTTATGTTTAAAAAAAATCATAATTTAATATCAAAATGTCTTTGTATTTAACAGCATTAAAACTATTTTGTTAATAGAAGTCTAAAAATGATCATGCCACAATAATACTAGGACCAAATGAGGATGTTCTAATTAATAAAAAAAAAGGACTAAAAATAGATCGAAACCTATAAATTTAATAAAAAATGGAATTTACCCATTCCTAAAAATTCCAACTACCCATGTTTACTTTTCCTATAAATTTGAGCTAGTCCTCTGGATGAGACTAGTGTATCTGATGTATTGATTAACTTAACAACTGAAACGAGAGGACAAGAGTAATATAGAGAACACTAGACTAGAGTTCTAGTGAAACACTAATATATGAGTCCAAACACTCCAACCTCCATTTTAGCATATCCAACCTTATATCTCCATACATTGCTTCTTCCCCCCCCCCCCCCCCTAAACATTAGCATTTCTTCATTATGACTCCTAAACCTTTCTTGAACCAATCTCTCCCACTAATTGAGTAATCTTTAAAAAAAAACTTAGCATATTATGACTTTATTATAATCCTAGTTGTAAGACGACAATAAAACTTGTAGTACTGGGATGATTGTGCATATCCAACAAATTAAAGAAACTATTATTAGTCCTTAGATCCAACAAGTTAATAATGATTTTTTAAACACTTATAATTCTTTACAAGGTAAAAAAAAAAAAAAGCAATACTTTCTTAATCATTTTACATCAGGTTCAATTTTGTGACCACCCATTTAAAATGGTAATAAAGAAGATATCACACCATATAATATAGTTGGCAGTTAACAATGAATATTTAATTGTTTAAAAAGTATAATATTCAAGTTAGTTTTATCAAATGAGTTTTGATTGGTTGAGAGGCTTTTAATTTATTTAGAATTTTAATTTTAATAAATTAATAATTTTTTCCTTTAACTTCCTTAGCTTTTTACCTTAAAAAAAAAAAAAATCCTTAACTTTTTAACTTAAGTTCACTTTTCTCTTTTTCATTTTGGACAAATAAAATTAAAGCATAATAATTATATCACTTAAAAATTTTAATCAAACCTTTTAAATGACATACATATTGATATATATATATATATATATATATATATATATATATATATATATATATATATATATTTTAAATAATGAAACTATAATTACATTAAGTTACTACTACAATTACATGTTCATTACTTTCTAAACTCTTCTGGCGTGTTAGCTTTTATACTCCTCCCCTCTAGCCTACACTCATTTGCATTACAAGGAGAGTAGTATGCCAAAGGAGTAAGAGTGAGCCTCAGTCGTATTTTAGTTAATAATCAAAATTTTAATCAAACCTTCATAACCAACCAAAATCGATCGACCGATCAATATATAATAATCGCTATAACTAAAGCCATCGGTTAAATAACCAAACTTTCTTTGTAAAAATGACTAAATTTATTTTATTCATTTGAATAGTACTAAAGTCCTAAATTGTTAAAGCAAACAAACAATATCTTAGTATTTATACTACATTAAGATTATTGTCTTCAAGTACATCGTAACTTAGTGAAATGTTAATGGACTATATTTATATATTATATGGTAAATAAATACAGTGCAATCCAATAGTCCTAGTCCATTAACATTAATGTGATAGGCTAAATTATATCGTGCATCACTGTGCATAATCGATTATGCACCACGCATTAAAATGACGTCGTTTCATTTAATAAAAAGAAACGGAATTCGTTTCGCGCTGTTCCGCAAAAAATAACTCTATTCTTCAGTTTCATTTTGTATACACTGCCGTTTCAGTTCAACACAACTACAATTTCATTTCGATATAACTACAGTTTCATTCAATATTTATACACTCAAATATGTGAAAATGTTATTTAAATTTATTTTATATACACTATAGTTTCATTAAAACACAACTACATGATCATTTCGATATAATTACAGCGTCATTGTACAATATACACTCAAATATGTGAAATATTATTCAGTTTCATTTTATATATACTGCAGTTTCGTTTCACCACAAGTACAATATCATTTTGATATAACTGCAATTTCATTTGATAATATAAAAATAATACGTGAGGCAGTGTCGATTTAAATACACTGTAGTGTCATCCGTTAACACTAACAGCGCGTCGTTTCTTTACTTAAAGAAACGACGCCGTTTTGATGCACAGTGCATAATCAATTATGACCGCGGTCCACGATATAACGACTGTAGGCTAAGGTAATGGGTCGCGGAGGAGCTAGTGTTACATTCTCCACTCCTTTAAAATCCTTTGACTTAAACTCATATGTTACATTCTTCACGTACTTCTCTATACTCTTCAGGGGTATAGTCATTGTAATGCAAATGAGTAATTGTAGAGGGTTTATTATTACTTTATTGAATTTTAGGGTAATTGAAAAAAATATTAAAATATCAATGTTGATGTTATTTAAAATTTTAAACTTTCTCATTTAATTTTTTTAATTATATATTTTTATACGTTAATTTAAGAAAAAAGAAAAGTAAATTTAATTAAAGAACGGAGTTAGAGGAAAAATTATTAATTTATTAAATTTAAATTTTTAAATAAATTCAAAACTTATCAACAAATTAAGAGCTATTATTGAAACTAATTATTATTTAATGTGATTATACCTCTATTACCATTACAAATGAGTAATCATAGAATCGAACCTTTATGAAAAATATAAAATAGATATTATTTTATAAAAAAATCATGAGTGTTTCAAAAAAATAATGAAGCATTATTAAATAGAATTTTATCATTAAAATCAACATAACAACTCAGTAAATAATTACCCTATTAATTTGGGAATGGAGCAGCCTTAAATCTCCAGGCCAATTGTCTCATCTAAAAGAGGTGCCTATAATTTAGCAAAAAAATTAGTCACTATATTCGACGGTGAAAACTCTGTGTATACCCAAAAAATTATCCTATTAATTTTAGAAATCAACACCTAACAAATGATGAACACGGGAGAAGCTCCCTTATTTTATATATAGGCCATTAAATGGCATGTGAGGTTGCACTTATTTAT